GTGTGTGTGTGTGTGTGTGTGTGTGTGTGTGTGTGTGTGTGTGTGTGTGTGTGTGTGTGTGTGTGTGTGTGTGCGTGCGTGTGCGTGTGTTCGCTCTTCGTTGAAGTGACGTATAATATATAGCATGTGATGCCGCAGATGACGATCGAGTGCAATCGAACGTCTCGAGACCTGTTGACCGGAAAAAATGTGTGTTCGGACGACGGTGAATCGAAGCGAAAATCTGAAAATAAATAGGGGTTAGTCAGTGTATAATATGTATTTATAGTAATTTAATTGAATGGTATACCGCTAGTAGCGAATGTTAAATATTAACGGACAATCGCACTCGACGGTCGTCGTTGAACGAGGCGTACTTGAGCAACGAGCGCCATCGCGAACAACAATGCCGCCGGATCGTTCGGAAAAAAAATCATGTCCATAATCTGTATAATGTCTATTATTGCCGCGTACCTCCTCTTAATGCGTATGCGCATTGTAATGGATATTCGATACAATTAAACAAGTACGGGGGGGGGGGGGAATCAAAAGTCACTCGCGCTCCATGTAGTTCATTGTGGCTTTTTGTTGGGCCTCAATTGAATCGGTTCGCGTATTGCAAAAGCGAAGAGTTTTCGTACAAACACTCGAAAGTCGAAACTATAATATAATAATAACGCATAACATTATATGTAGGCACACTTTAACATTCATTATTATTATTATTATTATTATTATTATTATTATTATACAGCACCGCTGTCGATGTTTTCAAATTCGACCTGTCGAAACAATGGATGAATCGATTTCGCCATATTATTGTGTCGAGTAGAGCCTATTTATAGCGAGGAACGCATTATTATAACTATACATCGTGTACCCTCAAATCGGTCGTTTTTTTTTTGTTTTTTTCTTCGGAGCACACCCTCCAAATTAGCTCCGAAAATACAAAGTACGTCCAAAATATCTAAAACAATATAAAATATTATAACAATATTTTATTTCACTAATATAAAATAAGGGCTTGGTCCTTAGAAAACAAAGTAAAATGTACATAACAATTGTTGGACGAAATTACAATATTATTGGCTGAACGATTGAGAACTTCAGAAATACGATACAAATTCTCGTATAATAGATGAATTTGATTACAAACAATACAAACAAAATGTACGAGATACCTTCATCGAGTCGACTGGTGAAAGAAGGATCAGTCCAGAATATTGGCGTTCAATGCATGATTCGCCCGAGCTACTCATTGGCCAAAAATGTGTATTATAGTGGTCCTATGAAAAATATGAAACGAGAACCGTTATCCTCGTTGATGTATCTTATGAAGTACCTAATAGCAACGATAGAATAAGAAACAAGATACAGATGAATCCATGACACCCTCCATCAGCCCATCGATAAACCGAATACCTACAGCACCCCCCCCCCCCCCCCATACGTTCGGCCAAAAAAGATGGCTGCATACCGGTTGCGGTCACGATGAGATAAGCAGATTAACCGTTGCGGTCATGCCAATCTTATGTTCAAGATAAATTATGGTATAACAATGGTAAGTGTGCAGTGTGCGAGGGGTATGGGGAGGGTTACTTGCAGACCTGAAAAACTCGCTGCTCAGTTTGCCTTGAATACGTCATGATTATAGATACATAGATAATATGATTATAAATACGCACCAGTTGCACCTAAGACGGGATTTCAGGGTATTACTATTTCTTTTATCGCTATTCGGAATAACGACTTCACTTGTCACTCCTGCAATTGGCGCTTGAAAAAAGGACGACCGAGCTCCATCGGTAAGTCCCCAATACATAATAATATAAAAGGTTTCACTTTCTATAATACCGTTTGCACTTGTGCGATCGTCGTTTAATAGTATAATAATATAATATATAATTTATTATATTACATGGCCAATTATTATTATTATTCGAACGACCGATTACAGTGTTGCCAAGTGGTACATAGTCGGATGCGGTAAGAGCCGACGAAGCAGCTGCTGCTGCTGCTGCGATTTCGGTCTTTGTAACGTGTTTTTTGTTTTTTTTTACTCTCAAACTCGACACTTTCACTTGTTCCAACTAGACTTCCTCGGGTGACGGCGGTGTGGGGGCGGCCATGGGAGGGGAGTCGCAAACTCGACGCACGCGATAACAACATATAATAATAGTTATAATAACAATATTATGTAGGCCAAACGCCTGGGCCGGATGGATGGGTGGGTTCGGGTGGCGGTGGAGGGGATCCGAAGGACGCCGGTCGTGCCGCCGCCGCCGTCGTTGCCGAACGCAATATCCGACGCGCACCGGCTCGCCGCAGTCTCGTTCGCGTCCATATAACAATATCGTTATTACGCAGTCGTTTCGATTTCGGTTTCTTTTTCGCTTTCGATTTCACTCCGATACTTCCCAGGCGCGTACCGTCGCCGTAGTGCCGCAGCCACGAGGAGGCTGTTCTCCCGCGATCCGTCGCCGAGGCTCGTCGGCCATGCTCCCGGGGCCGGCCGTCCACCGAAAACGCCGACACTGACGTTGCACTTTGCCCCCAAAACTATACAGGTATTTCGTACCTCCCGCGACGCGCCATCGACCCGTCGGACGTGTAGGCCGCCATGGACTCGGGACTGGCCCGGTTCGCCGTGCTCATAGTGCTGTTCTTCCTGTTGACCGGCGACCTGGCCGGCATGGTCAAGCACATGTTCGAGGAATACGGCGGAAAACAGCATGGCAACCACCATCAGCGGAACCGGCAGCAGTCTTCGGAAAAGTCGGCTGGCGAGAGAGTCGCCCGGTCGGCGAAACCTGCGCCGAGTGCGGCGGCGGCGGTGGGCCCCCCCGACGACATCGGCCGAGGCGGTAGACCGACGGCGGAAGGCCAAGGCGCGGAAGATGATCCAGACATGGAAGCGTTCGGTGAGCAATGGGTCGAAAAAATAATACGAAAATACGATAATAAAACACATTTAAGTGTTCGAGGTCACTACCGCGTAGTACTTGAATAGACGGCCTCGTTCGACTTTTATTAATCACTATATGTACGTCACCGTCATATGATATCATAGGTAGGTACCGTGGACCTTGGAGGAAACGCGACCGCGGGTTACCACAGTTCTAATCTTCTTGTTATTCTTCTGTTCTTCGTATGTATTATTATCGTTATCTCTCCAGCGCGTCGAATGCTTCTTCCGCGACCCCGTGATTACGCTCCCGACCGCTGCGTACCTCCCTCCAGCCGACCACGACCTCACGGGCACGTGTTTCGCGACGCTTACAAAATAATATAATAAGGTTCAATGTCAATAATAATATTGTCGATTAATATAATCATATTTAAATTTACACCGGGAGGCTGCGAAAAATCCGCAGCGAATATTGTACAATTCCTAACTAAACTTTCCGAGCGATTGTGCAATACAGCATGAGCTACAATAAAGTAATATTTAATACAACATTATGGGATAATATTATAATGCCCATTGCCACACTATATACATACGTAATTTATTGATATTATATATTACTCTATGCACACACGACACTATAATAATGTCTTGTAAGTATTACGGCTGCCGTTTTTTTTTTTATCGAGGTACTAAAAAACATAAATACCGGTTGGTTTTACTTTCATTCGCGTGCACCGGTTGTTACGACGATCGTGCGTGCGTGCGTGTCTGTTTTGCAACGAGAAACTGTGCGCGGTGTGATAATCGGACCTAATTATAACTTTGTTTGTTTTATACATTTCATTTACAGCCAAATCGTATTCGGCCCGAATGAAACTGGTCAACACCATCAAGGAATCGTGTTTGCCGAAACTCATTTGCGAGCTGACTGCGTCCACGAACCGAGACTCGCTCACCGAATCCGAGAGATACCTGTTGTCGCTAATTAGGTATTATTATTATTATTATTATTATGTACTACCAGCTATATACTGCACGTAGTAATATACAACCGCTAAACGATATACCGCGGTACACGGCCATCGTGCTCGATGACGATATTGTGCTCGTTGATCCCGATTAGGTTTCCATCAAGTTTTCAAACGCTGAAAACCGTCTGCTGCAGCGTATATAATCGTATAGTATACTGCAGTAGACACACTATACAATATTATTATGACAATGCCGATAATAATATCAAAATTGTTTGTTTAGCAACTTTCGATTTCACTGTAGCTCGAGTCGGCACTGATATGTGTACATATTATATAGGTACACAGCATAAACAACACACCATAAAAAAAAAACTGAGACATCGACTCCATGCGAATATTGCATAGTACATAGCATATAACATAGCATAATATGTCTCCAGGCAATATGACGAATATTTTTCAACCGTCAAACTGCAAATCGCAGTCGGTGGTGACATTATTTCGTTGCGCAACATTTTCCAACAAAGTCCAACGACAATGCAGCTGTTTTTTGTATTGTTGTCGAAATTTTTTTTAAGCATCGGTTTCAATACTGTAGTGCTAGTGCGTTAGTCACATGTATACCTACGCCCAAAAATGTCAAAATTATTACACATAGAGGTAGCTTTTTAAATTTGTTTCCGACAAATGTGCTACAAGTCCGAGGGTAAAAGATGCGTTGGAGGGTTGTTTTCGGGAGTACCAGTAGAATATTACTGTATATGGATATAGGTACCTGATCCCGGCATAATAACATTATAATATCGACCACGAATTGTTAGAATTCTTTTTTGTTCGATTTTCGAACGATACTTGAATATGTCATGCTCATTGCCCGCCGATGACGAAACCGGCGAGAAAAAAAAACGCTGTCCGGATGACTTGTCGCCCGCTCACTCTGCGTAAAACGGATTTCGTCGAGGGAAACCGTGTACCGGAAATTGTTAGAAAATAAAAAAAAAAACACTGGTAGACGATCGGAGCAATCATAAATCGCTTCGCCGAGAAACTGCCGTACGTGTATGCGCGAGTGCGTTATTTACGACTCGAGGAGGAGTAAAACGGTGAAAAAAATTAAGTGATAAATCTCTCGCGGAAAAGCACACAATATAATATACGCACGCCGTATATATTATTACATTATGTATATCATAACAGTATAATAACAACAACAACAATAATCGTTCGCATTCGTATAATATGAGAATAATGATTTGCTGCGCGTTTTCTCGTATATGTAAATTTCGAGTGCATAATGTGATAATATATAAAATATTTTATGTACAGCGGCACCTCTCCTGGCGACGACGTTAAAAAGTATTTATTTTTTTATTATGTTAATATTTTTGTGTACGCAGCGTGACGAGCGCGTAAGCGTTGAAAAACGTGTCGTTCGTAAAATAATAATATAATGTATACGCACTTTAAAACGCGTCGAAAAATAACACGAGGATCGACAATGACGATATTATCGTGTCCGACAGCTGTCGATCGAATGATTACATCACCGCGAGAGATGTTAATAATATTATAATATACCTAGCTCTGTATCAGGTGGGCATTAATTTGTCAACAAGTTAAAGCTAAAAGTTAATTTTTTTTAAAACTTTGTAACTTCACTAGTTAATTATCTTCGTTTTTAACTTACTGACTTATTCAGTTAATATTGTTATCGTTGTAACTAAACTTCTTACAGTTAATAATCTTTATCTTGTAGTTAAGTTTATTTTATTCTCGTATCGTGTAGTACTAACGTACGATACTGATTTGTTCGCTCTTGTTCGGTGTTTGTTCTTTATTTCATAATAACATATAATAATGTAATGCATGCACAGTGTTATAAACGTCTTGGTAAATGTTCGTGCAAATCAAAAATTAATGTACTTTATGACTAATACGCGTTATCGATTTCAACGTTTTTTTCGCTAACTTTTAATTGACATTAAGAATAACATTGAAGAATTCCGTCCAGTGGCGATATATTCTTATTATTTCACACACTATAACCATCCTTTTTTATTGTACGTTTTTGATCAAACAATTTTTTTTCCTTGAAAACGAAACGTCTACGAGCAAATTTTGAATGTTATCTAAGAATAATATTAAGGGCTATGATGATTTAAAAAATTGTTTACATTTATGCTAATATAAATAATAAAAAAAAACATTTCTAAAATTTGTCAACATTTGTTAGTGTGTACCTAATAACTAATAACAACGAGAGACGATACTAAGTATTAAATCTACATTATACTGAATACCTATATGTAGTACTATTAAGCTCTTTAATACTTCATAATATACATAAGTATACAAAAATTTTTTAACGTAGATGTAGAAAGTTGATACCACTTGTTCTAATTTCGGTAAGATGGGTTTTCAAATAAAACCATCTGCTAAATAATTTACAGTAAAAAAATGTGGTAAGTACTTATAGTGCTCCAATGAAAAAAAAATATGTTTACATACCACCATGTATGTAGTCCTTAAATGTTGCAAGATATGGTCCTCAAGTATATTTCCAAAAATCTAAATTCGAACCACGCTTGTGGCTAATCACTCGGTGGGTACCAACATATAAGTCTTGAATCCATTTCGTCGACGAATTAATAGGTAGGTAACATCGTCGACCTCGCCGCCAGCCATTTCGAGCCCTCGTCGAGACGACCTGTGACGAAATCACTGGATCGAATAGACAGCAGCATAGTTGTTTACTCGAAACGATCGTTCGCCTCGAAGCGTATAATCCATCTTTTCAATGCATAAATCACAGATCTCTTTTCCCCACAGATACATTGCACGTAATATATATATATATATATATATAATATTAAATAGGAACGTTAAAAAGTAGTTTGCAATGATGTCAACAACAACAACAATATAGTACCGGCTACTTAATGCGATGGTATAATGGTATATTATAAATCGATATAAACGCGTCTTCTCCGAAATCTTAAGGAATCAATTTCCAGCTCCGACAAATTATAATATAATAATATCTACCGTGTTGACTTCCGAGTTATCCGAATTTTCACTCTCTACCCCAACCCTTACGTTGTACCCATATTTTCTATGAATTATTGTCACAGACATTCAATTGACTGCGGTTTAATGTGCCCATATATAGCCATTACATCTTCTAACCGTCACCCTACGCAATCACCAGTGACAATGCTACATACTCGTTCATTATGATATGTTTTGTTTTTCGTTATTCTGTAATGTTGGGCTCTGGCCATTTTTTAATAATAAAATAAAATATTCTTACTACCGATTTCGCGAAATATCCTAGCGTCAGTAATATTACTTATTTTGTTTTTTTCCCCGGCGTCGACGTGATTTACACGCGGTTCCCCTCGTTCGATACCCGAGACCTCCGGTCTGAACTTGAAAACGTTTTTTTTCCTCACTCGGGGTTTGGCGCCGCGGGAAAAAAAAATACTAATAATAACTCGTGTCACCGATCGCGCGCACCGATCTCCGACGGGCCAATAATAATAATAATACGGGGAAAATCGTCGTCGCCGGCGTTCGCCAGCTATACCTCCTTTTGTGAATATTCAAAAGATGATTATTATTATTATTTTTCATCGGTGGCGGGGCGGGAGACCCTCTTAACGGCGTGGACCGGGCCCGGAGAATCCTTTGGGGATTTGACGGCGAAGAAAGGAGCACCGCGTACACGGCGTGAGAGAGACAGAGAGGATGAGAAAGAGAGAGGGGAGATTGGAATCGTAATTTTTCGCTCGGCAAAATTAAACGTCACTTTTTCATATATATATAATATTACATATTATTATTATATTTTTCCCTCGTCGGGACAAATAAAATCAGGTTTTTAAATTCACATTGCGTATTATTATTATTATCTTCCTTTCACGAACGCCGACGATTTCGAGTGATTTGACTTTTTTATCGTTTTTTTTTTCATATATTATATTTATTACGCAGCTATGCACACGATAAAGATTTTCATCGACGATAATATTAATATGAAAAAACACAAAAATTGCGATTCTAGTTTTGTATCTTCTCTGGTTTGTATTGTTGTTATTATTATCGTACACGGTTTGTGAAATAACTAACGCGTTTGCCTCGAGATTCTCGTCGGACTAGCTAGGCGTTGTCCGTAACTTGAACATCACATCCAAAACTTGACCTATATATATATACTTATGATTCCAACAGCATGAGACCGGCTCGTTACGGATCGATTTTTTTTTTTATGTAGACGTCTGCAATCACAGCATTAATAGTCAATACGTGGCTAAGGTCGAATTGCACTCGGCACAGCAAAAAGTAATGATCGAATTACCCTCATTCCGATCATTACATAATACACGACCTATTTTTCATTAACGAATACCAAATGATGGTCAGAATAATTATTTGTATTTTAACGTACGTATAAAGATTATTGCTCATAATATGTTATATTATAATATCTATAACTGCATACAATTTAAAAATATTTTCATATTTTAAAAATCAATAAACTATAATATTTATAAAAATGAGTTCTTTTTTCCAAATTGATAATTAGTCCTAATTTAAATATATAATACATATAGTTACATTTCATAAAAATATATATTTTCGTTTATTTAAAAATCAGTAACGTCGTGTAATAACGTCATTGATCGGTTCGAGTGCAAGTTAAACGATTTACCGGTTTTGAACTCTAGTACAATCACTCGAACATTTTCCCTGTTTAAACCAATGTGCAATCCACGCATTTTGATCAGGGAAAAGTTAGAAGAGTTTGATAGTCTACGTCAATGCAACTAAATTTAAAATGAAAACAATTGTTATCGCTTTTAACCATTGTATAAAAATGTTTGGTCACCGTGTCGTTTTCTTGACAGGCCCATTTCATTATAACATCTCATTGATAACCATATTATTTTATTATTACGATTCGTATTTACAGAGAAACGACCATTTCCACGACGGCCGAAGTGACGTCCAAATATCATTTCGCCGCGCACATGGGCCAACTCATCAACGGCATCGACAACACGGGATGTCACAACTTCTACCCCGGATGTCCGTTTCCAGGGCTACAGGTGATGCAAATGATGAAGAAAGTGAAGATCTTGTAAAATAATTATTATACCTACGTGTGTGACGCCGACGCAGCGACCACAGTCTAGTCCTTAAACCGATGCATCGTAATAATAATATAATAATAATTGTTATAAGACCGCGGTATACCTATAACCGCTCCTTGAAACGTAGGCAGGCCAGCTGCTGTTGATGTATACGCGCGCGACCTTTAACGTCTTGTTGTAATGTTGAAGCCAACCGCAGTTGATCAAAAGATAAAAAATCAAACGATTTTTCCGCCCTCGCAAATCCAGCTTGTAACATAAGTCATGTCCACGCCATCTTCGTTGCGGTCACCGTCAACCGATTGCGCGTAGAAATCAGTAACAATATGTTTTTTTTTTTTTATCAATTACAACCGATAATTATTATTAAGACATTACAGTAATTGTTATTATTATTATTATTATTATTATGCGCATCGTATAAGGTATTTATAAGTTACCTCAATCGAGCCTATATGTATAAGTACGATATAATATTATATAGTACACGATGTATAGGCAGTACATCTGCAGTTACCTATTATATACACATCTATTTATGTATTTAACTTAATATTATGTATAAATAAAAAAAATATATAAAAAAAATTGACCACAAGTATAATGTAAATTTATTATTGTATACGTATCATCAATCGTTTTATATAAGTTTAGGTTTTTATATGAACAACAGTGTCGTAGTACAAATGATGTAAATAACAATAACAATGATAATAAAATGTACAAAGAAAAATTAGCAACAAGCATTGTCGAAGCGAATGGTAACATAATAATTGAGAGGGTTGGTACTTGGTAATATACAATATCAATACTTACTTATAATGACGCTACTTAAATAAATTATTATAACAAACGAAACGTGTGGGGGTACAGGAAGTGTGATTTTTCCGAAAACAAAGATAGTTAAGTATAATGAATTGTGGTAATATTATTATATTATTTACAATCACGAATCTTTTGTGTTGTATAAAGTGTTCCGAAAATGCTTGACTACATATTTGACGAACAAGAACGTCCGTTATAAACATACATTACCTACATTATAATATAACGGGTCTGAAATTCACTATTGTGCTTATACTCTAGTTTTGTGTTATATATTATATTAATTGTACGATAATAATTTAATGTCCTTATAAAATTGTACAATACCAATGTATTAATGTACTTAAATAAATAATTGTTTTTTTTTTATATAAATATTAAAAATATAGGGGTTAAACGCTGTTGGGAGCGAGGGGATGCTCGTTTAAACGCACCTTACCAAGATATACCACACGCGCACATCCCTATTGAACCGCTTTCGCCGGCACATCACTCCGTAGTCCTGGGAAACTGAAACTTGTGCCGCCTCTCGTAGGGCAACCTGTTGCCGATCACGTCAAAGTCTTCGGCCGGTCGCCGCTGAGGAAGTCTGATGGTGGACGGTCGGCCGCCGCTCGAGGTGGCGTCGTCGACAAACTTGATCGCACCGTCGGCGTAGTACACGCCTTTGTAGTTGCCGTACTTGTCCACGTCGGCCCTGAGCCCACCAGTGCCGGTCCTGTCGGGGAAAATCATTTTCTCCCTTTTCGCCTGCCGGTTTCCACCTCCAACACTCCCGCCGCCGCCGTTGTGGTCGGACGGGAACGCGAACTGCGAGATAGAATTCGAGGCGCCGCCGTGATCGATCGCCGACGGAAACCTCATCGGCGCCGGCCTGGGACCTTCCAGCTGCAAGTCGTTGACCGAAGGCACGTCGTAGTACTGACCCGGCGACCCGCTGAGTATTCTCGGGTTCTGTTGGTCGTCCACTCGGGACTTGTACCCGTAGCCGAAGTGCTGTTGCGGCCTCGGGTACTGTGGAGCGTAGTTCTGTTGCTGATCCGGGTACGGGGGCCTTTGCAGGTAAGGAGGCCTTTGCGGGTACGGAGGTTGTCCCGGATACGGGGGCTGTTCCGGGTATGGAGGATGTTGCGGGTACGGAGGCCGTTGGTGGGCAACGTACTGCGGAGCGTACTGCGGTAGTTGTTGGTTGAAGAACCGGAAGAAACCGCCGTTGTGGTTGTTCAGGTAGTTGATCAGCTGGTCGGGGTCTCTGGGGCAGGTCGGATACGCGGTCGTGCAATACTTGGAATCGCCCCGGGCGTTGTACCCCAACAACGCGGCCCGGCCAAACATGAGCAGCGGTGAGTCGTCCACAAAGTTCAACACGGTCAGCAATCTGAAAGCCACGTGATATACGAAATTATAACTTGTCACATTAACTAAGTATATTATCATTATTCATCACTTCACCTGCATAAATCGTGCAGAATGTTAGGGCTCTTGTAACAGTGCAACACATAAGTATAACTCGTCACGTAGGTACATTAATTACTAACAACTAATAGGTAATAGTAAAAATGCTGTAGAACATAGGTGAGATTTGTCTATTTTAGTCTGGCTCCTGAATAAATATTTATTATTTTTTTACATCTGTATATAGTGAGATAGTAAGAATTATGAATAATTTTGATTCGTAAGGTTGTAATTTTTCGAATTCTTTTTATCTAAGACACCTTGGAAAAACAACCTTTTAGCTCTATATTATAGAGGTGTTCAAAAACAGTTTGCGTCAAAATATTTAAATATGTACTCAATACATTTTGGGCCATTTATTAATTTTCGACCAAATCGTTCAATTTTTAATCGAAAATTTGTTTAATTTGTTAACCAATATATACAACGATATGACTGGATATTTGTGGAATCATTATAAAATAAAACCGTTTTTTCACTTCTAATTTTTACTATAAAATACTGATATTTCATTTTCCTTACATTTCAAAAGTTTTTGAGTATAACCGTTAAAATATATATAGGATATTTTGTAGGGACACCCGTACATCTCACTATATATTCTACATAAATCAATGAAATATTAAAATCAACAGAGATAAACATAATATGGATGACCGTTTAGTCGGAGAATCTGTATGACAAATTCGTATTTTGAAAACACCAACTATCTAACTGCGAATACTGAAATGATTGAAAATTGAATCGCAATCTAATTTTTTGACTAGTCATTATTTGTCATTCAAATGCCTAGTAAAAAGTGACTATTAGTCAATAAAAATTTTTCGATCCAAAGACACTCGTGTAGTGATAATGAGTTTCGATGAAATTGTACTCGAAATATATGCAGCAGAGAGGTGACGTTTCAACAGAATATTCAATAAATGACTTCCGCCCGTCGAAACGTATAATATGTAGTCGTGTGAACACGCGCTCTGATAGATCCTGTAGCATCATCACAACGGTTCGTTGGTGTAACCACGGGGGTGTTTTAGATTTTGTACCTCTGTCCCCCCACAATCGTACTTATCCGAAAAATGTACGATTTATTATTGTTATATACTTCAGATTTCTACTAAAAATATTATGTTTTCGTAGTATGGCTCTGTTTCATATTTGATGTTTTATTTTAATAATTATTATGTAGATTGGCGACTACAATTATTGAGGGTGTATTGCGCCCCATAAGCTATATTTTTAAAGTACAATTTTAACGCTCCACTGAAAAAAATCATCGTGACGTTCCATGATCGTCATACACTCATACCTATGTTGTATAAAAAACGAATAAAACCGTAGTGCAGACGTCGTGACTACTGACTATTCCCTGTGTCGCGATTTTACGTTGTATACCATCGATTTCGATTGTCGGTGGGATGACGAGCGATATATCGGTGTACGCGCATTTGGAAAGTCTGCCGATGACAAGAGTCATCGACCACCTGTATGTGTGTGGGGTGCGATGTGTTTATTACGATACAGTCATAATATACCGACATTATAATGTATGCGTCGGGTAAAAGTCGTCTAGCGAAAGACAAAAACTGTTCTATTGACGATTGAGTGGTGGGGGAGGGGGGCCCGAGATTCGCTATATTTAACGCACATTATATGCAAATCCGATCGAGTTCGACGACTCTCGCCTATGTAATACAACGATAATAATAATTGTACAATAATATGCGCTATGACAAGCGCATAACATCGACGTCGGTCGATTTCGCGGACGACCCACGCAGCTCATTTCAACCGGATTCGTATAATATATTATAATAATAATTGTTGGTTAGCGTAGGACTGTTGTACGTACGACGGCAGCCTCGGGAGATGAAAACGTTGGTTACAATATGATGAAAATATAATATTGTAATATGTTATGTTATCACCGTTGTTGTTGTTGTTGTTGTTGTTGTTGTTGTTGTTGTAATTGTTGTCATAATGACATCGTGGACCCGCTTTTGGTGTTTACAAAACGACGTAGCGCGTAACGCAATAATTACAAATATTATTATTTTGTCACTCACAATCGCTGTGTGCTGGACAATAGAGCAGTGCGTAGAGCGATAGTATACGAAATAATAATAATATAAAAGCATATTGCTAGCATGTATCATAATAATAATAATAATAATAATAATAATAATAACAACAATATTGCATATCCTACGAATTACGATCGAATGCAGCAGCCGAGCAAACAATTGCAACCCCGACCATCGGGGGTTCTCGCATAGATATAGGTGAGCCATAGATATCTCCTAATCATCCATGTGACCAATACTGACGAATAGAGTTGGGTAATGTAGAAAAGTTGATTCGGCAGTCTTTAATTGACGTTTGCCTAACTCTGGACTGTGGTATGTCTGGGTAACATATTTTACGGTCAAGGACGCCAGTGTTAAACGAATGGGTTACCCGCGATTCAAAATGGTTATCATTTAAGTACCTATGCCTAATCATTGTGAATGACCTTAACAAGACTATATACATGTGTTTGCCGACTTTCAAACGTACGACATGTCGAATTTGAGTTTAGCGAAACCGATGTTGTGTTGTCAGCTCAAATATCAGGGCGAATTGCTCTATTATTTGTAAACTTAGAGGTAAAAACATTTTCGGTGCTTAAACATAGGTTTTTTTTTTATATTTTAATTTTGAATTGAGATATAAGTATGTGAAATATTCAGAATTAAAAAAGCTCGAATCTGCGTATAGCTAAAAAATTAAAATATCAAAAGAAGGTGAAGTTTAAGCGCAGCTGATAATGTTCTAACATATGAGTTAAATAATTGGTGAATTCGCTCAAATGTATAAGCTAACAACACAAAATCGGTTCTGCTGAACTCGAAGACGGAGTCGACACGTCATGTGTGATGCACAGTATCGTCTTAATTCGGTAAATAAAAAATCTATCTACTGGCTATGTCGACTTTGCGGTTTAACACTTATGGCAACTGAATAAAGACCAACCATTATCGTTCTATAGTAATAAAAGATCATGTCTTATGCGTAGTTAAACCTCCATTAAAATATAGTAAACGTCTTTTTGGGGTATAAATTACCAACCGAATCCTTCGAATAACGGATACGAATTGGAGAAATCGTCCAAAGGTTTGGGATTTGGCTTGTGTTTACGTTTGATACAAAATACAAGTTTAAACAGAGTCGTTGGACGTTTGAATCAAAAAAAAAAAACAGAAGCAGAAGACTAAAAGCTCACGATCTCCAAAATTCTCGATGGCGCCTCGTCGTTTGCTTTACCATAATAAGAACAGTATATTACATTATCACTATTACTATTATACGGCTCGTGACGTGATTATACTGCTTTCGAAGAGTTAGTACCTACCCGTCCGTGTAGCGATTACCCGTGAGCACGGTACCGGAAACTATACTTCCGGTGTGTATATTAAGTAGGTACGATAATACGATACATAATCACGACGTTTGAACTTTACGCGTACGCTCTATTATCAAAGCAATAACACATCGTTTACCGACCGCATCATAATATTATAGGTATAACATTATCATACCGCGGTACAAACACGGTCGCGGTAGCCGAGTCCGCCACAGTCGAGGACTATATACAGTTAGTGTAATATATTTTCCGGAAGTGATCTGAGCGGTGAAAGGGTTCCCGAGGGGAATCATATCGAAGATGCGGCGGAGACATCGTTAATCTGTCGGCGAAAAAATGTTTATGACGCACACGCCGTTTGGCGGCGGCGGTACGCGTTTTTTCTGTTACCCAGCACAGTAAATCACGTCGCAATAAATAAGCGTTCGGCGGGTGGTGGGTGGTGGGCGAGTTGAAGGAAAAAACAAGTTAATTTCGATTTAAGCCCCGCAAATCGAAATGTTTACGTTACGCGCACCCTGCACCCCCGTCCACTCGTCACAACGTCTCCGCAGAGTGTTTGTGTACCCGCAGAAAGGCGTAAAAGGCACGTCTCCGGGCGTCAAAGACACTTTTTCATTTCTTATCTGGACGGGCCACAGATCGCGGGCCGCGTAGATTTATCGACGGAAAAAAACCAGCGAGACGACGACTGATATACGACTTTAACGCGCTATGATATATTATATTTATTTTATACGCAATTATCGCGGACATGCGAACCATGATATATTGTATTTGATATAATAACGACACCGTGACAAGCCCGAGTTACTATAAATAATAACTCAAAGTACTCCTAATACCTATGTATATATAACGTGTAAATAAACCGTGTGTGGGTGCACACCACACTCACGTGATCAGGGCGTCCTTGGTGAGGAACGGTATGGAGGACTGCTGTTGTTGTTGTGGCTGGTAGTAACCCGATTGCTGGTTATAACCGGGCCTGGTCCCGGACGACACCTCGCACAGCAGTCTGGGCACGCACCTCAGGTCGTCGTGTTCCGATATGGAACTCAGTGCCTGCACGACCGAGTTCTGCTGCAGGTAGCCGCCGCCTGGACCACCTGGACGGAGCCCATTGGGTCGGAATGGCGGAGGGTACGGTCCTCCGTTTCCAGGGTATGGTGGGGGGTACGGTCCGCCGTTTTCCGGGTACGGTTGAGGGTACGGTCCACCGTTTTCCGGGTATGGTGGAGGGTACGGCCTGCCGCCTTGGCCAGGAAATGGTGGTCGGCCGGTGTCGAAGTAATCGGCGGCGGGTGGACGGTTGGGCCGACCAGAGACCGATTGAGATCCATCCTCGAACAGTCCTGAATATCTGGCGTCGGTGTTCAAAACGGTTCCGATCATTTGAGTCAAGGACCTGCAGCGGAAAACGTAAGACAATAATTCAATCATCGCATAATGTATAGGTACAGCGACACAGGATGATTATATAGATGCGTATTATTTATCTAGAGCTCGTTTTAGAAAATAGAAAACAGTGGAAATAATATGAATATAATATCGTCAAGTCTTAAATTGAATTCCATTCTGTTTGCCAAGATTTGTTAAGTTGAACTTGTAGTAGCAACTACGTAAAGTATTCTTAGCTGCTTATATAATATAAAAAATATCAACCTGTCATCCGCGCATATTTCTTTTAACGGAGATTTTTATGGTAGAACCATTTTATTCTACAAATCAAAAGAAACAGACCATCGCAACTATATTACAGCTTTCCCGATGAAAACAAATCGATTTTTAAATATCATAATCGCTGGTAGTGGTCAAATAGGTATAAAAAGATATCGATATCGCGGCAAATAACCGACACCGATATCATATGTTATCATGAATTATTCGATGTATCAAATCTTTTTTTCAAAATGTTTATCTTATCTAAACATACTTTTGGAGAACAAATTTAATTCCAGCTACTGAAAATGAATCCGGATAACATCAAATAAGTAACCTAAAACTGGGACTAAAAAATAAATTATAACACTGAAAACAGATTAAATCCCGCTAAAGTATCTATACAAAATTAAAAATTATTTATTTTCCTTTATAAATCAAGTGCCTATAGGTTGATAATTTTGATACCAGTAAAATTTGAAAGATATAGAAAATATGTAAGCTACATTTTTTATTATTATTTCAATATTAAAAGTCAACTGTTGCCAATATTATCGTATACTCACGTCAAGAACTCGTCCACTCCTCTGGTGGTGTTTTTTTCGTTCGACAAAGCCACCGCAAACCCGCAACAACCGCACAGAAGGGCGACGACAAACCTAGAGATCGCCATCGCGGACGGTCGCATGTCTGCAAATTTTTTTCTGGAGATTTTCGTTGTTTTCGAGGCTTGAAACTATGTAAAGTCGTAGAAATCGTTGGCAGATACCTTTAACGAGGAATCGTCCGATAGTCGGACGACGAAGAGTGCCAAAACCGGTGTGGCCGACGGAGGCGACGGCGGTCGGTCCGGTGCCGCGAAAAAAATTGTAAAAAAGCGCACGCCCACGCTCCGGCGTCGCCCACCCGACCACCGCCTGCACGAGATGTCGGCAACCCGCGATCGGCACAGTGGCGGTGGCGGATTTCGAGTGTAGAGTGAACTTTCACAACAATTAAAATGACATCATAACATGATACGCGGTCCGACGAGAAAACGACAGTGTGCGACAATAATAATAATAAAAATAGAAATATGACAATCACGAACACGTCGACTGAATTGCTAGTGGGGAATGTAATCAAACGTGTATAATATTATTATCGCGGTTGTTTATTACGATTTATAATATTATAATACGAAAATGAATGCACGCAATTCGCAGACAACGACTCGGTGACGACGACGATCGCCGTCAAACTGCGAGCGCGAAACTCCACTCATCGGGTACCCGCGGACGATAATTAATAATAATAATGATTTAGTGCGATCGAGCGCTGCTTACAAATCGTATGCGATAGTCGAGACATTTAACACTCGCGCCCGCGGGGAAAACTTAGACTGGCGGTGTATATTATATGCGTATTTGCACCGATTCCAATCGATTATCGTCGATCGTGTCTCACATTTTTCCGCGTGTTTTTTCCCCCCGGAAAACCATAGCTCCGTCTCGTCGCGTTTTAGTTTTTCCCGGAGAACGACAGCGGCGTATAATTTTAAATGCACTGCCTATACAAACAAACGTGTATAATATATATATATAAATAAATAAATAAATACAACGAAATGCAAACGTGTCGGTAAAATAATTCAATTAGAACGCGACACGGCACGGATACGTATTGGCTATATAGGTAGGCGTAATAGGTAAATGGTAAAAAAGTTTTTCTAAAAACGCGTTTTTATACAGGACGTTTCAGGTAGTTCCGCGCAAACTTTCGGAATATTATAACCACTCGTCTGAGACAGAAATCAAAAAGGCCAATTTTCCGTTTTTTACTCGAGACTTTTTTAATACAAAATAATGGTACTTGTGGTGTCCCACTCGACGTAATATATTACAATAATGTTACAATAATACAAATGCACAACGAGTATGATGGGCCAAATCAAATTCATTTTTTGTTGAAATAACAATACTTAAAGATTTATTTTAGTTTATTTTTGTTAATCACTTAGATTTACTACCCAAAAATTCTTGAATTATTATTTTAATGAAAAATTGCACTCCCCGGGGCGACAAATCAAAATATCAAAGCAAGAGCGGTTTTGGAGGAAGACAATACCCTCGCTATGTATTAATTATTATCATTGCTATGGGTCTAAAACTGAACCAGATATCTTATCACAACTACCCTTAATATCCCGCATTCGTGAAACTAAAAATAGGTAACAATTAATTCGATATTAGTCGTTGCCGAAAATGTGTTTTATTCATTCACAAAGTTTATACGGAACAACCTAAAACACTCTGTACATGAGCTTTGCGTTGCTGCACTTGCGTGTAAAGTTTAAGTGTAATAATAGTTTTCGGCGGTGACCCTAAAGGCCTAATATTCGGAAAAAAAATTCACTAACCACTCATTTGTTGTATATTATGAGACACTTGTTGCATGCCTGTATATGGGTCACACCGATTAGCGGAAAAACGTGTGCCTGTATACGATAATTATTATAACAATCGGCAGCGTGTGGTATTATGGAATAATAGTTATAAGTACCTTTTATGTAATAACAATATGTGCACACATTTTTTGTTTCATTAAAGTTGGACGATAATAATATTACATATTATACTAGTTATACAGAACGACAATGTAATGTGCATCGTGGCACGAAGCATCATAATACTCGGAAAATTCTAAATACCTGACACTCTTGATCACTGCAATTTTGTCCATTATTCGGAAGTGTCCTCCATTCAGAGAGTTCAGATTGTAGATATTTTGTAGGTTTTTGTAGGTAATTGATCAACATATAATTAATAAGAGTACACATGGTTAAATTAGTATCTAATTGATATTGTATTATATTCATAGACATAATAAACAATATTATTGTTACCTATTACATAATATTATGATACCTATGATTATATTATGAAGAATAAAACAAAAAGATGAATTGGTACACGGCGCAGTGTTGTCGTTTGTAATATTACGTTTGTATATTTTAAATTTATAATAAACAACAACAATCAATAATAACTTAACATCAAAAAGAAAATTAAGTCTAAAAATGTCATTCCTATATGCGCCATAGACGTTTGCATTTTAAATATCATATTCTACATATTATTATAAATTTATAAGTGCATAATACCTAGGTGCCATCGATTATAAATATCAAATATAATTTGAATTTATATTCAATGCACTCACTTATTATATAATTACAAGTACTATACAATGTACAAAAATTATATCGACAGTACTGCGGCCGACCAATACCTATACATAATTTCAAAACCGCCTGCAAACATTTTGTCAATTAAAATATTAAATTAAGTGTTTGGGATTATACTTGGGTAGTGGTTTGACATTTAAGTCGTAAATCAAATACTCGATCGTCGTCACTCGGAACCGAAGCGTTTACGTAACAAATTGGAATTCCCCACACCCATATGTAAATAGCCATACAGGGTGATTCACCAAACATGCCCACCCACTTTTTGACTTTAAATTATTCGGCAAAATTTTGATTTTTGATGTACCTATAAATCAAAATTTGAGCTGGTGGTTTCCATCTTAGGTGCTTAACTTTGTGTACTAAAGATTAGAGATAATGAGTTTGGAAGTTGTACAAGAAGCTGTGATTATTAAACAATTTTGAGTGACTAATATTTATCTATCAACATTTGTAATTTGTAAAAATAGCCCAAGTATTATTATCATTAGATCCGATAGTATAAATTTATTTTATATCTTTGTAAAACCATTTATAAGGATTGGCATTATACCTAATGTTTAAAATTTTAACTACCAATAACTTACTCGTTCAAATTTTGATTTAGATATTTATGACTTATGAGTACAACGACATTTTCAAAGAAATAATCTACTTAATAATTCCAATCAAATAAAGGAATTCTCGTTCGAAGTATTCGTAAACGTGGTCTTTAGGTCTATTTAAAAGTTCCGAAAATCATGTTTTGAACAACTGCAGCATTACGAAAGAATAAAAAATAAAAGGTGGGTGGACATGTTTGCACGTGAGCCACCCTGTATATAATATATGTTATCGTCAGGCGGCGAGTGGGTTGTGCTCGAGTGGAAATCTCCAATAACGGCGTAAGTATATTATTGTTGTATCCATTATGTGTTGTACTACCCACGGTGGCATCAAATCTGCGCGGAATGTCCTGCGCAGGACTGATGTCGAGACGTGTTGCGAAAACGCGCTCGCGGTAACCCAATTTTATGCCATGATGACGATCGCTCGCGATTAGTGCGTGTACGGAGCGTATCGCGACAAATTGCGTTTGGGTGTGATACAATCGTTGAACACCATACTAAACCGAGTCAAAAGTCCAATCATCCCCCTACAACGACTTCTCTGTGAAGACAAACATCGACCGACGCACATCACTCACCCATCACCGATATAACCGAGGGAGGATCCCTCCATCTGCAACACCTGTGGCGTAAAAATCGTGGCAAAACAAAAAAAGTCACCAATACCATAATTTTCCAAATAGAGCGAGAAGGAGCCCATCTTGCCGAGGCCTTGCACCTGAGAGTAATTCTCAGTGCGGACCTTAACGGTCGAGTTATTTAAATATAAAATATGATATCTCAAACTATTTCTTATCCGTACCGTAATGAAACATACAATTTAATGTATTTAATAGCTATTATAAAACCAAACACTATATTTCTGATTCTGCGCGGGGTGATGGATGTAAATTTATTTGACATTTACAATGATGTGTGTCTGTTTTGTTTTCATTTTTTTGTATGTCATTTTGGAGTAGTAAAAATGCTTTGATTTTCAACTCAAATATTTTTTTTCTTATGTGGTTGGTCATGGATGGGGGGGGGGTTGTACCGTATTAATAGTAAAATAAATAAAATTACCAAAATAATTATAATAACGCAATATGAAAATTTGCTAATATTTAATGTAATATACCCCCACTTGGTAATATGTAGGTCTCCACTCAACGCGTTAAAATAGCGTCAAAATGATTTATCGGTGAATTAAAATTTAACACTTCCAATTACACGAGTGACCTATACCAACTCAACGGGCAAGGTACACTATAGACTCCTACTGCATACCTACAACAGCACAGTTGTTACCTACTTTACCTCCCACCCTTTTTCTTTTGTTTATCACAACGGCGTCTTAGAGACGACCTAATAAAAAAAAAACAAAACAAAAAAAAAAAAAAAAAAAAAACGTAAAACCCTGATTATTTGCACTGCGTAACACTGTGATAACTGATAGTAATTATTGTGATATCATAATAAATAATAACAATATAACCGTGTAGCCTCTGTCTATAGATATATATATTGTTGATTATATAACGCGAAATAATAAACGGACAATTATTATTCATTATTAAGTGTCGGCGGGCATTCCATGACGAAATCTCGTGGTAGTATATTATATAAACCCAGATTTCGCGATCCGTCAAAACAACAATAATATGTACCTATGTACGATAAATGATTATGCGCCTGCATTGCGGACGAGGAGAGCATAGCAAACCGCAGTCGACCTGTAATGCATAAACACTCTTCGGTGTCGTCATGAATTTTTTGATTTTTTGCAGTACACAGATTATATTTCGGTAGTAATTATATCATACAATGTGTGTTAAAATGTTTTGTATTTTCCATATGCTTGAGGTGCGTTCAGCTACGTTTGATGTCCGCAAGCTATGGACTACCTGATATTTTGAAGAGGACTTTCTTCCTTCGAAAAATGTAGAAACCCGGATTACCAACTGCTCGAGATTAGTTCTATGTTTGTTTTCTAATTTTTAATAAATTAACAAATTAAACTTACATTACTATTATTTCTTTTGTTTCGAATGATTAATTTTGTTGTGTCCTACTGCTTTTTTCTATACCTATATTATTTTTACCGTCATCGTTTTACTCGAAAAACAATAAGGAAATTATAAAAATCTATGTAAGTATTTTCCTTTTCTCTGTTAAAATGGACAGGCGTCCCGCAGAGAACGGAACAACAATACCTAATTATGGTTCAGTTTACATGTCGACCCATTTAGTAGCTTCCCACCTCTCAATTCCACCGACCATTCCTCATATATGAAGTGGTTTAAGTATAAAATATCTTGATGACCATATACTTTCAAATACTATTAGCTTCGATAATTATATACAATAGTTGCAAGGATTCCGTGTCAACATAAACCATTTTTTTTAACACAGATGATGCGTACACTATGTACCATCTATGTAAATCGAAATGAACGAGTAGGTTCTGAATCAGGTAATAAACTTCATTTACAAAGAATAATATAATAGGGCGATGATGATTTAAAAATCATAGTAATCAGTTTAAATATTGTCCGAGTATAAAAAATAATTGACTAAATATTGCATCCACTTTAGGTTTCATGTAAAACCATTATTAAGGCTCATTATCTTTAGTATACCTACATATAAGACTTAATGACTCATTAACTGTATTATTATATAGAACGCTGTGGCACGTTTAATACACTGTATTGCGGAATCCCGCTGGTCGGCAAGAATTTCTCGTCACCGAATTTTCTGCTAAAAAAACACATATAATCGACTCAGCATTGAGATTGCGAGTGTCGTTTCGAAATCGGCGCACGCAACATTATGTATATAGGCACAACGCTCGCGATCTATATAAAGAGTTTATATTATAACGGCTGCTGTTTGGAATGCGACCGCGATTCGACTTTACAACCGATTGATTCGCCAATCGTGGTCACCCGGCAATTGAATTCCTGTGGCAATTCATTAATTCAAATTTTAATTTTTGGAATTTTTTAGTACACTCGAGGAGGAATTTTTTCCATTTGTTTGGATTTTCGCGCAATTCAAGGAGCGTCCCGCGGGGATACGAAGTTATTTTATAAAAACGAGCAATATAAATTGTTAATTATTGTGTAAATGATTTACTTGAACAAATGTAGTATCTGAGTTAAAATTCATTAAAAAATATAAAATACTAACTACTAAGGTTTGAGAATAATAAATGGTTTTACAAATATATAAACTGAACATTTAATATTAAATCTAATATAAAATCATTTAAAAATTAAAATACGTCAATAGTTCAATATTAATCGCCAACATTTTAAGACGCCATAGCCACATCCATTACCGTGGACCCATTAACTAAATTAAAAATAAAACTCAAAAGCCACAGGTTTTCATTTAAATTTCAATATATCATAATTGTCGACGAAAATTCATCTCATTTGGAAAAAATAAGTTGGTATCGCCACGAGAAGACACTGCACTCTTCCAGAAGTGACGCGGTAATTCAAAATATTCGAAATAACGGCTCTTTTACCTGGCTAGGTTTGTTTTAAGTTTAAAGGTCCGATAATATTAGTGTAAAATCGTTATCAAAAAAAATAATGTGGACGAGCGCGGTGAATCACGCTCTACGTCGCACAACAGTAAGTTGAAGTCGGTCAGAAATTTGTCGTTCCGATCACTGCTCGCGAACGACAATAATGATGTGTGTAAGAAATTGCCAGGCCGAATCGCCGGACGAATTTCGTGAGACCACAGGCACCGCGTACGACTTACAATCTACGGACTTCCGGACGACTCGCAGCGGTCTTACGTGGAAGACTCGTAACACGTTGTGTGGAGTTCGTCACGTGCGCCGCAATGTATTACTGCAGTAATTATTACACACACACACACACACACACACATATATATTATACACGCCCGGACTATTCCACTTCCGGCGCCGCCGCGGCCGCTGTCCGGTTTTTTTTTTTCAAGGTTCGCGCCGTTGCGCAACACGCGAGACACAGACGACGACGACGACGACGACGACGACGGCGACGACCACTACCGCGGTATACGACTGGTACGCGCCAGTGCAATGTAACAGGTAGGCACCTGTATATACAACGCGGTAATAACGGGCACTTTCGTTTTTCGTCCGAAGCCGCCAATCGCGTTCACTTTCACTCTCGCCACACACCGTCGCGGTCTCCCACGGGTTATTCGTTGTTTTTACACAGGCTTTAGTGCTCCGTGAATCTCCGCCATGAAACAGCTCGTGCCGTCCGCCGCCGTCGCCGGTCTGCTGGCCGTCCAAACCCTCCTCGTGCTCGGCGTCCTGGACTTGAACGGGGCCGAGGTCCGGGCCCAGGAGAGCCCGTTCGAGTTGCCCGTCCAGCTCATCGGTTTCCCCGTCATCATCGTCGCCGTCAAGATGTCCAACTTCGTCAAGAAACTCGCGTACGCCCTGAACCCGAGTGAGTACTACTACTCTACATCCCGCACACACCTCCGCCGGGAGGTCGTAGACAATTTTTGGCAACGTTTTTTGTCACACGTTTTTTGCGCTTTTTCGACGGCATCGTGGTCAAACCCGCCGCGCACGTGCGACTCTCGAATTTCGGGAAAAATTTTGACGCCTTCCGCCCGCCAATTTTCTATCCGCCGCCAGCGCACTTTCACGCGTGACCTAGGCGGCATGGCAAACTGGTATTTCGCGCGGTTATACAATGTATATAATAATGTATTAATATTGTATTACGTGTGACGATATTATTACACTAGGACGTGTATAACACTATATGGGCAGGCTGTTGATGAAGTCGTAACGCGGAAAGACGACCACTTGTACCTCGCGCGCATCACGTAACATCGCAGTTCATAATAATAATATGCGTTAGTCGATAGTGCAGGAAGACGATTATAATAATAATAATATGTAACATAGCTACCTATATATTACATCATAATTAGCCAATCTGATGAATCTTTATTGCAACGTATTTTTTGGCAGCACGCGGTGATGTCCGCCCGGAAACTTTTGTTCTTCAAATAACAATTTTCTAATAATATCTTTTGCGGACGATTTCGTGTCATCATTGTAGCCAGTAGTGTCACCAAGATTTTACTTGGGGCAAATGCTCAACTAGGATCCATCATGATAGTAACTGGTATGGGCGATGAGCAGTGCGTATAGGTTTTACATTTTACATTTTGGACGCGTATACACGAAACTGGGTCTAAAAATTATATTTTTAATACACGTTTAAGTAGTACGAACTATGATTACAGAACGATTTTTTAATGATTTTTAGATTTTCCTGCAATTTCAATTAAAGCTACAGCTCTCTCGGCCCTACCAAAATTGAGCCATGGCATTACGTTATCACTCTCGCAGTCATAATGCAGCGATATATTAATATATTATTACAATACTCAACCCGACGACAGTTGGGTTAGTTTCGTTTCGTTTCCGAGTATTTATTTTGGCCAGATCACTAGCAAACCGTACTCTATCGGCGATGACCTAATCCAATAGGCGAGTAAATTACATAATCGGTAATGGTTTTGTATGGATAGTTGTAATTTTTGTTGTACATAATATAGTTGTATACAAAATACACACTACACAAGTATGCGCTAATCGTATACAGTTAATGTATAGAGTTTAAACGACAATGGTCATAGTATATGATATGTATAGTAATGTATAGACAATAAGACGCGCATTGCAGGTCGTACACCTATTACAGGTGTGTATTGCGTATTTTAACACATACGCGAGTAAATTAAACATTTCGCGAATCTTGGGTATGGAATGCATTCGATGACATGTTAAATACCAAACGAATCCATAAGACCCGAGAACGAAAATAAATTCTACATAATACTATGCTTGTGTAGGTACGGTACAAAACAGCGACGGTTCAACCAAACGCGACGTGACGACCGCGCACACAATTCTAATGAAAAACGGATTTTTTCTCTAAATACACGATATTCAATAGTATATTATATATGAGATTAAATCTAAGTCAACTGTCGCACAATGATTTTTAGTGATTTTAGACAATTGCCACCTGTATGATGGGGACAATAACGTCCATCCATATTGTATTATGTGATGAGCAAGTGGCGTCACGTTAGACTTTATTCTTTTTTACATTTTCCAACATTTGATGTTGAAATCGAAAAATTCATGATGTTTCGAATTGATAACTGATTTTGAGTTCTCAACTATAGATCCCACGAACAACTTTTCTATTGATTTATTATAAGGCAAATACATGACTCATATAATTGCTCGTTGAATTAACTGTAAATATAGATATACATAACATTTTTAAAATCGAATTTTGACAATTGGATGTCCAAATTTGTTTAAAACTTGTTAGTGGGATCTAAGTAAAACAATATTATACGCTAAAGAACCCAAACTTGAATTCATAATCCAAGCAGTGTAATCATATAGATCGATCAGTATAATAATAGTGTGTGTGTTGTGTATATGAACTCAATTATGATACGCACGAGCTTAAACCTTTTTTTGCATGTGTGTGTGTGTGAAGACGAGTCACATCGCTAGTGGACCGAGTGCTCAGATCGCCTACTATTAAAATAATAAAAAATAAATAATAATAATACGCTGTACGTCGTCGTCGCGTCGTCGAAAGGTTACGCAAACGGTTTCGTATCGTGCTTACATTTATTACTACAACGCGGTCGTTATTTGACGTGACGCACGTGTGTGTCCACAGTGTACAAGCGACAATGACGTTGCGTAAAAAACTAAAATCGTAAACGAAGAAGTGGCAAAAAAATCGTTTAAAAGTAAAAAACGACATGGCGTCTCTGGGTGAGCCCAATATTATAGGTGCACCTATTGTTGTAATATAGTACATGATACAGCAGTGAGTTTCGTTCATAGTCAAGTTATCTATAGGCACAGGTCAATGTTAAACTGAACTAATAATATTATAATATGATAAAGTTTTCGTTTTCGTTTTTTTCATTCCAATAAACCCGAGTTCTATAATTTTCATAAAATTAAGTTGAACTATATGGTTGTAAATACTATTGAAATGTAAAACCAATACAATCTGTATTCTGTACGTAAATGGATTATTCGCCGCGAGAATGCTCACCGGCAAATTTAATAATGAATTTACTAGGGTTTAAATTTGTAGAATTTCTTAACTATAAATACCATATTATAATTTATTTAATCACTTAAGATTTATTTATGACATTTAAGTAAAGTGTCCTGTGGTGGTGTCCATTAAAACTTCTCTATTTCAAAATGTAACATGTGGTTCTCAGAAAATATCTCTTTTTCTGTATATGTTTAAGTGTATTTGCGCAAGTGTGCAACATACCTATACCAACTATGTGTTCAGCAAAACCAATCTGGTCTTGACGTATATTTCAATATTAGAGTGAATTATTGTTTTTTATTAATATAATAAAATAAATCAAAGTCCTTAAGTAGAAAAACTTGGAATCCTTACTTAAAAGTTCAAAAATCAGAATATGAATAAATATGCGTTATAATATCTGATACCTATTAAAGGATAAAATGAGGTGAATATGCTTGCACTGTTCATAACCGAATTATTACTATATTCAAATTTCCAGTGGCTTTTCAAAAACCGTGGTTAATATTATATCTTACTTTAAATACAAAATTCACCTTATCTGATTTGTATACGATGGAAACGGTTTAAACAGTGTTGCTGCTCGTTATTGTCGTGAGAAAGAGGAACGTTTCTTATTCTTCACTCTCCGGCTCACCCACCTACCACCGTGTGACGAGTAATCTATTAGTGAAAATATGTAGCATAATAATATCAATAATAAAAAAACACAAAAGCATACGCCATTATAATTAAATGTACTATAAGTCTATAACGATTTCATTACGAATATTCGAATCGAAGTTTAAAATTTCAATAATTCAAATGAAACACCCCAGGATCCGTTACCTTTAAGGATCGATGACTACATTGTCGGGATCTATATTGGCTATGAGTAGTAGGTACCTACTTCTGTACATTTATTTATATTCGTTATTATGCCAATTTGTCCACTTAAACTGTACCGTTGTCATAAGTACTTTGTTAAACATGATCGCAGGCACCTATAGAAGAAAGGCCAAGAGGGACTTGCAGGCTGCGACGTCCTCCTCAACGACCTTGTCGTCCTTGGACGTGCTCAAGGCCCAGGAGATGATACTGAAGGAAATGGGTCCGGATGCGTGCGTTTACGAGAAGGTGTGCTCCGCATACGCTGAGGCGGCCGCGCTCACCAAAAAGGATCGGCACAGTGGTAAGGCCAGAGTGGACCGAATGGACTGGGAAAAGATCATCAGGTGAGTGATGTTGATTATTAGACACGTCATAATTTCAATTGTTCGCTTCTCTCTATAATAAAAAACCGATCAAACACCCGCATGAATTAAATGATTAATTAAATGATTTTACGGTCGTAAAAAAAATTAATTCTCGTTAGACTATTGTTTACATATAGGCGGATAAGCTATATATACATATATATACAGCAATACGGCCTAATATATTTCACAAAGAGTGTGCTTTCCATATTGGGGTTCAAAGAGCCTGCTAAATATAATTATAAAAATATGGGTTTTTCCAGAAAAAGAAGAAAAACTACTAAATTATATAATTATGATTTTATAACTGACTTTTAAATATTATGCTTAACCACATTTTAGCGAATCAAATGGATTTCTAAGTGCATTTAAACAGTATTTTTTTTAGATTTATTGTATTATAATATTATATACTGAGCTTGTAATGCATGTTGTTTACCTGTAGAATTTTCAATTTAACTAGTCACTAATTTTCATCGAGAATGTACCTAGATAATATTTTTAAGATACGTCTCGTCCTTTTATTATTTTTGTCGCAGTGGGTATATGGAAACCGGACAGGCCAAAAAGAAGTACTACATGCTGAGCGTTTTCCTGGGCGACGTGCTGGGTTCACCAGAATTCTGTTCGAGGATCGTAAGGAAAATCAAACGATGTGACGTCAAACACATATACCACTGACGCTGCACATACACATGATATAATAATATTGTGTTATATATTTCAAGAACTATATTTATTGAACAAAATAATTTGTAATTACAAATAATAATAACAATAATTATAATAGTTTATAATATTCTAAGGCGAAGTACACCACGCTGTCGTCGTATCATTGTTATTATTATTTTTTTTTCGTGTAATGTCGTCGTCGCTTTCGTTTTAAATGTTATCTTAATTTTTTTACAACCAAATCTGAAATGTAATATTATTATATTATAATATCGTATTATCACCATTGTCCTAATGTGTAAATAATCAAAATGTTTTATAGAATTATGTAGATAGAATTAATAAAATATTTACATATATATATATATATATAAATTAAATGTGTACTGACATCATAATACCAAGATGTTTGGCGTTTACAAGTATAAGATAATTATTGTACTTGTATGTACTTTTCGGGCTTTGCTCCAAAAGGCTCGAAACAAAAGAAACCTTAACCGTTGTAACCATACACTTACATATACGGCCACGACGTCCGAAATCCAACTAACGAAGAAGAAGAATTGTAACTACAAACAAAATAAAAGGATGACAAAAATGTCGAAACCTTTTCCATATTCGAAATAGGTACCTAATAACTATAATTAATAAAATGATATTAACTCAACGCAACGACGACGTCAGAGGTATAAAAACTCGAAAAATAATTGACCTGTTAATTTTTTTCATACATGCTTACTACTTCAAATGAACAGTTTTATATAAAATAAAAGTAAGATATAAGCCGACCGATCGGTTGTGTCGTTGAATGTGTGACTATATTGAGATAACGCTAACGTTTTCTAGGCCGTTTACAGTTCAAGTAAACTTGCATTTACCCACAATATTCCCTTCCTATAACGGAATCTACAGGTGCCAACTTATGTTTCGCCATAAAGTACAGTTCCCGTTACCTATGGAAAGTTTAAAATATTGTACGGGATATGTAAGTTACTAGCGATCCCTCCGGCGTTACCCTTGACAAATCGAAGGCCCTCGAAACCAGCCGAGGTTTGAGGTTTTGTGATTTTGCAGTGTATTATTATTCTATTAGAAAAAGGGTCTTCGCACGCAAAAATATAAAAACACGCACACACCATTGTAAATGTAAGACCTGCTATTTAGAGTTTTGCTTTAATTTGTAGTGCTGGCTGCGAAGATGGCACTACAAGTTTTGTAATTGAATAACTTTTAAAATAGATTTTAACAGATTCCAACAATTGTCCAACAATGTTATAAGAGTACTAGTTGAATTAACCGGCTTCGCCCGTGAGTGGCTTTGTTTTTTTCATATTTACAATACATCCCCATAACTTCTCGGAACAATTCTTAACTAAACGACGGACAAAAAGGATAAGTTAAAAGTAACTAGAAAACCGCGGGCCGCCGTGCCGCACAACAGTATTGGCGTTGGATGATTATAATTGTTAAATACTCCACTAAAACGCAACATTTTTGGAGAACACTTTCTTGAAAATATGAGAAGAACCTCTATTCCGAATTTCGAGTTCGTACGTTGCGTAGTTTTTGAGTTACAGCGATCAGTGACTGAGTGGTGTTTGGATTTTATATATGCAAAGATTGTTGGAAGAGTTAAACGGTGTTTTGTCGAATATGTACAGTGCTGGGCATGCAGTTGGCACTACGAACTCTGAAATTGAATAACTTTTTATGCAGTGTCCAACAAATTCCAACAACTTTCCGACAGCGTCCAAGACGAGTCCGATGAGAAGAGTTTGTTGGAACGGTTTTAGATTGTTGTGCTAACTTTGCAGTGTTAGCTTCACGTAGGTCCTGCACTCCTGCGATGTATTCAAAGGTTGTAAATAGTCACTGCAGTTTTCCTGGCAATCGATATTGGCATACCCCTATAATAATATAATACTCGTACAATATATTGTAAAATAATATTTATTTGGTCATTTACGGTTGGGGCTTTGCACCTCGCACGAGTTGGGCCGAGTTCAATAATCTCAACGGACGGTTATTTTTTTTCAAGCGTCCCCCTCTCCCCCCCCCCACCCCACCACCACACCCGTCTCTCTCTTATTTTTCGTATTCCGAGCTGCACTGACTGACTACACGATATTACGATATAGCACGTACCTCTGTGTGTGTGTATAACTACCGCCGACGATGGCACCGCGATTTATCGCTTGCCGCACAATAGTCGTACGCGACGATGATCGCCGCGATCTGTCTTATAAATTATAAAAAATACCGACGCCGCACGTGCGCCGCTCACAAGTGCGTGATTTACGCCGCGGTTTACCGAAACGGACTCGATGAAAAAAAAAATGAAATAAAAAAAAATCCTCATAATATAATATCATATTATTATCGTCGATCATCGTCATCGTCCCCAGTGTTGTACACACTGTATCGGAAATATCATTATTGTTTTTTTACAATATGTCCGGCGCTGGCGCGCGTCAGAGTGTCGACGGCCGCGAGATTTATAACACACAGAAACAATACGAATCAGACGTTTTATTATTATTACTTGTACTGTATACATTACAAGATCAAAGACGCCGATTGTCGGAATAAATCAATTATGAATATCAAAATAATACGAGTACTTAAGTTACAAACGATTAACGGTGAAAAAAGAACTCCGAGAAAACAAATAATAATAACCGTAACAGCCCTAAAAAACGTCGTACGAGCGAGCATTATAAATAATAATCGTACATACGTTATGACGAGCTTGTATTTAGGTTATCAAGTTATTTAGGTATATATACCTATATATATCACACGGTTATAACCAGACAGTTCTGAGCCGACCTCTCGACTGGACGCATTATGAACGGTGCCGGTATAATGTTAGACATCACTCGGCGACCGCGAGATGCAGGATCCTCAAGATTCATGAATTATTGCCGACCGGTAAAACTGTTCACTATATTGTTATAATAAAAATGAAACGGTACAACATTGTTTCGTGTACGATATGATGAGTAGAAAGATTAATATTGACACATTTCCGATCATTATGCGAGCGCTTGGAAATACAATAATTTCTCAAAATAATACACTCAGACGATATTATTTAATGGATATACTATCAAAGATGAGGTTAGGGTAAATGCTCTAAGAACAATCAAAAAAATGCGTTTTCAACGCGATAAAGCACTCAATTGAATTACCTTAACGGTTTTTTTTTTTTAAAGAATCAACAGTGTGCTGCAACTAGAAAAACGAACTTTTTAATTTTTAGCACTTTATCTCAACTAAACTAACAATAATGAAAAAAACTAAATACCAAACTTAGGGCTTCGGGCTCGATAAATAAACAGTACACTGGAATTGAATGATGTCGCGAGTTCTCTCAAACTGACCAATATTCGTTGTCAATTTTTTTAATAAAAACACCTCATCCTATTACTGCCAAAAATATAGATGAAGACTTCATTGTTTTCATATAAGAAATAAATTTGTTATAGTATACGACGATTCACATTAGATAAGGATGAAAAATCCTTAAAACCTAATAGATAAAAAAAATAAAGCAACATATTACAATTTACACTAAAAACTGGTAAGTATTATGAATTAATATACGCTCTAGAAATTAACAAAATGATCTGGAATGCTAAAAACGCAAAATAAAAGTTTCACCTTTGAAGTATGTCTTTTGCACAGCGAGACGAATCATATACTTGGAATGTATAATACTGTTCGAGGGCACCAAAAAAAAATAGTGCACTTTGCATTGAAATCCGGCGTCTTCTCGTTCGCCTCAGGTGGATTGCCCTTCTCGGTTTCATTTATCCCGGGACAACGCCGCTGGTGTATAGCGTCAACGATTAGTCAAATAATTATTAATCGATTTTTAGTTCTGAAAACGATTTCTCGAGGCTATTTCCTCATTAACCGATATCGTTGTCGTACCCTTATGGGTGCACTGCACATTATTTTAAAATCAAAAAGCGAACCGCAACGCCGCCGCAGGACCCGTTTCTTCTAATTATATAATATATATATTTATATTATAATTCGCATGACCTTTTCGCGTCGCCAGCGGGGGACTCGGCAAATCCCATTAAGGAATATTGTCACCGCGGCGCGGAGATAGGAAACGTTATGCGGAACGGCTGCAAGAGGAAAGCTGTTATATTCGCGCGAATGATTAATCGCGGTGTCTGTGGTTGTGTGCATAGGTAAACCGGGAAACCGGAAGCGGTGCAGCAAGTACAAACTTGCTCGCACACCGACGTAAGACGTGCAGCGGGGACGAAGTAGGACGGGTGGGCGAGAGCGGGGGAAATTAATTAAGTCTTTGTCTGTCCAAAAAATACACCGCGTACAATCCGCCGCCGCCGCCAGAGACCAACTCCACCACCGCACAACCCCAAAACCACCGCCGGTGGATAATTTTCTCTCCTCCGTCGACCGATGATTAATGCGTTTACCCGCTCGTTTGACAATGAGCACACACACACACGCGCGCACTCGCTGGTGGGGACGCACACGAACGTATAATAATAGTAATAATAATATAACCTCTTGACAGTTAATTTCGGTTGACGAACGCGCTGCGACAGTACATGTGAGTGCCTATGGATCTTCCGACGATATTTCGAATATAGCAATTAGCTTTAGCGCGTTTCTAACCCCCCCGGGGGGCTTCTGACGCAATCGCGTCTACGTTACGACGTTCTCCTTCTTTTCCTCTCTACCACCCCTCCGAATATTAATGCATATATAGGTGCCTGCACTACACGTGCCACTTATATGACGGTATTAGCCATCCATATTTTTTCGTTTGGACGATGTACAGGAGTAGCACGCGAAGTCTCTTCGAAAAAAACTCTTACAACCGTTTGGACTGACAAAATAACTGCAGATTACGATGATGGCGCTGCAGAAAAAAAACGCGGAGTTGGAACGTGATGGTATCGACTATGAGAGTGTAAGACGGACGAGTGGAATGTAAATGAGAAGCCCAGTATGTAGGGCGGTTTTCAAACTTCAACTTTTAAATTTGTTGGGTAAGCGGTGTGACGGGCGGGTGGTTGAGAAAAATCTGAACAGGACTCGCGAAGTAAAATATCTCTTGCCTCTACCGTAGTATATAATAAACTTAAGTTGAAAGAGACTGCCGACTCGAGTAGGTAAGGGGGTGTATACGGGGCCCCATTACAGTGGACTTACAAAAAATATAACGACCACTCGGGACTAAGGACCCGCAGACGATCGTGCCAGAACAACTCA